GAGAATGACCGTAACAAAGTCATGGCCGAAGGGCCCTATGCCCTTTATGGTAAGGCCGTGTTCCTAAGGATATTATCCGAGGACTTTGACTTTGATGGTGAGGAATTTTTAAAAGTCCCAATTTGGGTAAAATTCCCCGGCCTATCGGTTACACTTTGGAACAAACAAGAGATGAGTGAGCTTGCATCTAGAGTTGGAGTTCCTATTGTGGCGGATAAAGTGACTCAAGAAAAATCAAGATCTCAATTTGCTAGGGTGTTGGTGGAAGTTGATCTTACTAAACCACCTACCTTGTCCATTCCGATTATTCAACCATCCGGTAAGGAAAGGAACCAATATGTTATATATGAAACTTTTCCTAACTATTGCTTTGAGTGCAAGGTTTATGGACACCACCCCTTTACATGCAAAGTGCTAAATAAAGAGCTTGTAGAAAAGGAGGCTAATGATCCCAAGGCCGAGACTAGTGCTACAAAGAATGCCACCAATGTTATTGATGTGACCAACAAGTCAAGAGTGGAGGAACCTAGGCTGACCGTGGACATTCCTAAAGAAAAAAGAGGCATTAATGTAAGTGGCAAGAAGGAAAAGGGCAAGGCCAAAGGGAAAGAGATTTGGGTTGAGAAGAAGAGCTCCGAGATGCAAAAAGATGGTGAATGGATGGAGGTAAAAAAGAAGAAGAAGAGGGGCTCTAAAGCAACTGTCCGAAACTTAATTACACCTAAGCTAAATGTCCAAGGGCAGGTTGCGAAGGCCCCTGCACACCCTTATGCCGCGGCATTGCCTACTGCACCTGCCGATCCCTGCACCTCTGTCGCGGCCAAGACTTATGCCGTGGCGCAAAGAGCAAGGTCTACTGCACATGCTGATCCTCCTAATGCCGCGGCGCAAAGAGCTAGGCCCACTGCTGCACACTGCTCCAGTGTCCCGGTTTCTAAAACAGCCGACCCAACACCTAAAATTGCACTAAGGCTCACTGTCCAAAAGTCCAAAGCTGAAATTTCTAAGGCAAATCCCGAGCACCCAATAAAAGAGAAGGCTATCAATTTTCCGAAGAGTGGGAACATTAGCTTTGATGAATTGGGGGGTGAGATCATTCACAATGTATATGATATCCAAGAGGGAGATGTGGTCACTAGAATTGTGTATGATGATAACAAAAAGAAGTCCGTATATGTAATGCACAAGAAGGACATCCCATTGCATCACCAAATCAAGAGGCTTGGACCGGAACTACAAAAAGTGAGGGATGACGAGGGAGGAATCTCATTCACGGATGAATGCCTTCGAAAGCTTCCGGGAGTGACACCGCATTATGAATGGTATAAATTTAATCATAGCATTTTTTATACTTATGTGGCTTCTTTTTTTGATGTAACAACTAGGGAAAACAAGAAGTATTTCAAGGAGGCAATGAGGAGATTTGAAGCAATCAAAAAAAGTAAGGAAGGGGCGAATAAAGAGGGCTGCCAATCCTCCAACGAATCGGTCTCCGATGAATTTTAAAGCAATAGTATGGAATGTGAGAGGTTTGAAAAAACCCTCCAAACACTCTACTATTTTAAATTTAGTTAAATTTCACCAAGCAAGCTTATGTTGTTTTTTAGAAACCAAAATGACAAAAATAAATATTTTTAACTTTGTCTCTAATAAATGGCCCGGTTGGTCTTTTGAAACAAACCATGATTTTATTGATGGGGGGCGATTTTTAGTGTGTTGGAATCCTAATTTAATATCATGCAATTTGATTGAAATGGGGGAACAATATATGCATTTTAAATGTCTATGCCGCACTTCGCAAACGGTTTTCTTTGCTACCTTTGTATACTCACTTTATACAGTCTTGAGGCGCAAGGCATTGTGGGAATATTTGGCTCTTCTTGGAGATCAAATCAAAGACCCGTGGATTATAGCCGGTGATTTTAATTGTGTTTGTTCTCCTAGTGAGAGGGTGGGTTCGAATGCTCCCTCGGACTATTTTTTAAGAGATTTGATTGAGTTTAAAATCCGTGCTAGCCTCCAAGATGCCCCCTCCACGGGAGAATTCTATACTTGGAATAAGGGATCTTTGTGGGCTAAGCTTGATCGGGTTTTGCTCAATAATACATGGGATCACCTAGGGATCCAGTGTAAGGCCCATTTCGATGAAATGGAGGTTGAGTTTGATCACACGGCTACCGTAATATCTATACTCAATAATACCTCTCTTAGGCCCAAATCTTTTAAATTTTTTAACATGTGGATTCAACACGATGCTTTCACTAACATACTTATGCAGAGTTGGAATGTGAATATCAATGGAACGGCCCAATTTCAAATTGCTAAGAAACTTAAGGTGCTAAAACAGCCGCTTAAGAATCTTAACAAATTGGAATTTGGCCACATCTCTATGAAGACAAAGAGTGCAAAAGATGAATTCAAAAGGCTAAACAAGTTGATGATTGACTCACCCGATGATGCCGAGCTTAAAGAGCGAGTAAAGGTGGCAAGAAAGAGAGCTACTTTCCTTGGTGAGGCCGAGTGTAGCTTCTTCCAACAACGGGCTAAAGCTAAGCATATCCTTGAGGCCGATAAGGGAACAAAATACTTCCACGCAATCGTCAAGAGGAACATGGCTAGGAATACCATAACCTCCATTACGATGGATGATGGTAACCTCACTACGTCCATTGATCATGTTGGAAATGAATTTGTAAAATTTTTTGTTGATCTTTTTGGCACCGAGATGGAAACCTTTTCCATTGACCAAACGGTACTAGGAACCGGCCCCTTGATTGAACCAAGCGTTCATGATAGCCTATTATCTCCGATAACTAACAAAGAAATTAAAGATGCTTTGTTTGATATCGGGGATGACAAGGCACCGGGGCCGGACGGTTATTCCTCGGCTTTTTTTAAGAAAAATTGGAATATTGTGGGGGAGGATGTGATCCGGTCGACTAAGGAGTTCTTCAACTCGGGAAGGCTGCTTAAACAGTTAAATCATACTGTTATAGCACTTATTCCTAAAACTAGTCACTCCCCTAGGGTCTCGGATTATAGGCCTATTTCATGTACTAATGTGCTTTACAAGATTATTACAAAAATTATTGCGGCAAGAATGATCCCGACCCTCGCGGGTTTGATTAACAAGGCACAAGGTGCATTTGTGGATGGCCGCCTAATGTTTGATAACATTTTCCTTGCCCAGGAACTTGTTAGAGGATACAATAGGAAGCGAATTTCACCTCGTTGTATGATAATGGTGGATTTGCGAAAGGCCTATGATACTATCTCGTGGGACTTTCTTGCCAATGTACTTAGGGGTTTGGGCTACCCCGATAGATTTGTGGGATGGATTATGGAGTGTGTTTCTACCGCTTCTTTTTCTGTCTCTTTGAATGGTACATTACATGGTTTCTTTAATGGTAAGCGTGGCATTAGGCAAGGGGATCCAATGTCCCCTTTGCTCTTCGTGGTATGCCTTGAATATTTCTCGCGCCTCCTTACCATCAAAAGCATGGATTCGAGGTTTAATCACCACCCACTATGTGGCTCGTTGGGAATAACTCACTTGGCCTATGCGGATGATCTCATGCTCTTCTCGAGAGGAGACAAATATTCCATTGGAGTATTGGTCGATGCTCTTAAAGAGTTTGGAGAAGTCTCAGGCCTTAGGGTTAACCATAATAAATCCAATATTTTTGTGGGAGGGGTTCATGGGCTGGACTTACAAAACATTTTGGACCTCGTTGATTATGGTCGTGGAGTATTCCCGGTGAGATACCTTGGAATCCCACTAGCACCGCTAAGAATCTCCGTGGCACAATATGCCCCCCTTCTTGATACGATAAGCGATTTTCTAAACGCATGGAACACAAAGACGATCTCCTATGCCGGTAAACTAGAGCTAATACGATCTGTGATCCAAGGGGTCCAGTCGTTTTGGCTCCAAGTTTTCCCGATTCCCCAAACTATTTTGGATAGGATAGTATCGATCTGTCGAATATTCTTATGGGGTGGTAAATTCTCGAAAGTAGCTTGGGAAGACATTTGTCTCCCAAAAGAGGAAGGAGGACTTGGCATTCATAATGCTAAGGTATGGAATCACGCCCTCCTCTCTCGTACTTTATGGGATGTCCATATGAAGAAGGACACCCTTTGGGTCAAATGGGTGAACGGTGTATACCTTCAAGGTAGAACCGTGTGGGATTTTATCCCACACACCCGGGACTCACAACTCATGAAGCGGTTGAGTCTCATCCGTGATAAGATCCGAGGGTGCTTCAATAATCTCAATGACACTATCATGGGCCTTGCCTCGAGAGCCTCGAATGGTAAATTAGCCTCCGCAAAAGTTTATGATCTCCTAAGGGTCAAGGGAGAAGCTAGGACTCCTATGAGTTTCATATGGAAATCCTACATTCCCCCCAAACTCTCATTTAATGCATGGCTGGCCTTAAGAAACCGACTACCTACACAAGATAGCCTCGGGTATCTTTATATCGTAAACCGGTGTGATCTATGTCAGGGTGGTTTGGAAACAATACCACACCTTTTCTTTCTTTGCCCCTTTACTTGTAGGGTGTGGCATCACGTAAGGAGCTGGATGGGACTAAGACATGAGATGTCTACCTTGCTGAGTTCAATCAAATGGATCAAGAAGACCCATAAAGGATCAACGTTGAAGGCCAAAGCAGCCCGCATTGCTTTCTGTGCAACAGTGTACTACATTTGGCATGCTAGGAATGAGGGCAGATTTGATGGAAAGATGAAGAAGGAGGAAGAGGTTGTTGCTAAGATCAAACATGTGATGTATAAGGTACTCTACAACATATACCCACATGAGTTGATCACATTTTGATAAGAACGATGAAAGCCGTTTGTATAGCCTCGGTTTTGATAGGCTATGTGCGTGCACTAAGGTGCAGTCCTGTTTTGCTTCTTTTTGATTTCCTATGCCGCGGCATAGGTGAGCCTTATGGCTATCTTTGGTGATGTCCGTTTTGAAGTGAAAGCTC